AAAAAATTTGAATGTTTCACTAGGTACAGAATCGGTTTGCCTACCGATTTTGTTCCCTCTCGTGGCACAATTCAAATAATACTTGAATTTGGCGTGACCTTTTTTTCCTTTGAAAAAGTACAAAATCGGGAGGCGAACCGATTATGTACCTGTAGAAGAAAAGAATGCACAGAGCAACGAAAAGTTCAAAATGCAGGAAGATTGGTTGTCACCTGGATTTGAGCAAACTACAACTACACTATCCACACTGTCCCAAATGTCTACACTCTCCAATTTTAATTTGTCCACCTTTTTTTTTTGTTCAATATCATTTTCAGGTCCATCAAATAAACATTTTCTATAACTAAGAATAATTTCTGGAAAATTTATAATTTTTGTACAGAAAATTCAGAAATCTGGTGCAACTGAAATAAATAATACATGGTACAGGAAATCATCAATTCGAGCTATTTCTATACTGCGAAAAAAATTCTTCAAATTTCAACCGTCTTATATTATCACAAACATTTTACATTTTATCAAAATGTTTATCACAATATAATAAACATTTTATCAGTTGACCACTTTTTGATATCTCTTACAGAAGCTGAGATAAATTGATTCAAAGTTGTGAGGGTGGGTGCTCCCTAGAAGCGGCCCGCATACTGTCCGCTTTGACCTGATTTATTCATAAGAACCGAGATGAATTGGTTCAAAGGAAAACGCGCTCCAAGGACAATTTTTGTTAGAGGTGGTGCCCAGCTTTATCCCCATTTATCTCGTTTTCTGTGAATGATATCAAAAAGTGCTCAACTGATAAAATATTACTGATAGTATGATAAAAATTTTGTTATCAAACTTCTTTTAGATATTTGTCACAGGAACCGAGATAAATTGATTCAAAGTTGTGAGGGTGGGAGATCCCTAGCAGCGGCACCTATCGGCACACAGTCAAGTTTGACGTAATTCACCTCGGTTCCTATGAGAGATATCAAAAAGTTTTTAACTAATAAAAATTTTATCACAATATTAGTAACATTTCATCAGTTGACAACTTTTTGATATCTTTTACAGGTATCGAGATAAATTGACTCAAACCAGGCATAGGCTTTTTTACAAGGTCTACGGTAACCGCCTGTAACTCAACTAGTTTTTCACCGAGATTAGTGAATTTTGGCTCAAAATTTCTCAAATGTCAAAATCCTGAAGTCTAAAAACGTTTAAAACCCCGATTCCCTCAAAACTCACAAATCAGGAAGAGAAGAATCAGAATCGTGGAGACGAATCCAAGGAAAGTGGCAACATAGAAAAGGTCCACTGGAGTTGAGACTTGGAAAGAAAACTGCGAATGGAAAGTGGAGATGTATGGAAGGTGCAAGCGGACACCAGTGGCATTTTCAGCAACAGAAATGACTGGAAGAGTCAAAAGACAGAACACGCCAGAGACCAAGTCGAGGACCTGGAAAATTCGATTTTGCTAATTTTTTGGAAAATTCGGAAATTTTATTTTTTTTTGGTTTCAGCATATGTAAAATTTATTTGGTGCTTGTTTCAGCGTTCTATACTAAGTTTGAGCCGAGTTATGGCCAAAAATCCTTCGGCGCCAGATTTGGCGGGAATTCAAAAATTTAAATTGTCGGTCGGCAGCGAGCTGCGAGTTCCTACTCCACTAAACTCACACAAGCAAACATAGCCAATTTGTTGCCATACACCGAGTTCGCCAACATTCCAAAAATGACCAAAATCTCCAAAATTGGACTTGCTCCGTAGAATAGATGAGCCCAATGTTTGTCGGGATTGTACTTGAGATAGAAATCCAGAATCATACTCAGAATGGAGATGACCACCACTTGACATCGATCCGACGGTGGTTTGGGGAGATTCTGGAAATTTTGAGATTTTTGAAATTTTTGAAAATTTTCGACTTTTCATGAATGTCGTCGTGGCTCGCCACCCACTCACAAAAGGCCGCGTATTGTCTACGCCATCTACGCCCTTGTTCACTTGTGGTCGACCGTGGTATAGTGGTTGCGGGCTGCGCTTTTGCCCACGCGACGCGGGTTCAAGTCCGGTGGGCTTTTTATTTCTTTTTGGCTTTTTTAGAGAGTTTGGATGGGTCCAACAGATTCAGAAGACCTTTGAAAATTAAAAAAATCTCACCTTATTTTCGCAAAAAGTCATCCTTTTTCTTCTTTTTTCTCAAAGGAGCTGCTGCCACTCAAAAGTTTGTGTGTTGTGAGAAAAATGAAATTCTTTCTGGCTCTTGCTCTAGGAAAAAAGGGCGGTCCCTTCTTCTTTGATGTGTTCACGTGTGCTCCATCAGCTCCCAGAGCACAATTTATCCCTCTTCTTTGATCAGTTTTTTTAAAGTTTTGGGAGAAGAAGAAGAAGAAGAAGAAGAAGAAGATGGGAAAAATGTCAATTGGAAATGAAAAATTCTAGCAAGATCATAAAATTTTTGAGTTATATAACTTTGTGTTTCAATGATCAGAAATTAGACTTGTCGAACTAACAAAGGAGGGGAGCAGCTGGAAATTTTAATTGAAAAATGAAATTTTCTGATTTGGCAGATGTAATGTTTAATTTCCTTCAATTTGGTCTTATTTTCAGCGTTCTATGCCAATTTTGAAAAGAGTGAAGACCGAAAAACCAATGACGTCAGATTTGGCGCGAATTCAAAATTTTGAAATTGCCGGTCGGCAGCAGCAAGCGCGTAGCTCAGCGAGTCGGCGCTAGCTAACTAACAAAGGGGAGAGGCAGCTGGTAATTTCAGAATAAATATAACACCAAAATTTTCAGATGTTAACATTGTTCCATAAGTTTGGCGGATTAGATACGATTTAAAGGTCTTATTGTATTATTCCTTCCCTCAGATTACTGTAGAATTTCCCAGGAAAAATGTGCCTGAAGTTTTTCGAATTTAGAGATGAGATACAACTTTTAAGATAAGAGATCCCCCATGCCTATATAAGGACCATCCATCCCCTAGTTTCACAATCTCTCTGTTTTCTCCAGAATGTTCTAGTTTTATCAACTATTTGATATTTATTCGATTAAAAATGACTCAAGATGTTTCAAGAAACTAATTTCAGATAAATATGGCTGAAGGAAACCAACAGGACGCTTTTCTTGGACTCGCTCCAGAGGATGTTAGTTTTGTTGAAACGTTTGCTTAATTGAACTTCTAATGTTTCAGGAGAAATTCGCTAAGAATCTCATCGCTAAGCTTGCTTTGAGTTCGCTGTCATTGCCATTGACAGTCACCCGAACCCTCATTCAACTTGGCCACGAACCCTTCCCGCTGTCGACTGGAAAGACCCTCATTTGCGCTGGAAGAAATGCGTATTTCCTCCCAAATGCTTTTAGCTACAGTATGTTCCAATTAAACGCAGCACATAGAGTTTCTAATTTGCAGTGAAGCAATTGGCTGACACTCGTGGATACACCACATTGTGGACCGGACTCGATTC